TTGACACTCCCCCATTGATGTGTAATTGACTGTTTCAAAGGAGCACTGGTTCATAAGCTATTGCATGCATTAAAATTGCGTTCTCTATATTGCAGCTTTGTAGGACAGGGGTCAGTGACAATGCAGAAATTGTTCAATGATGCAAATTTTTTTATTACTGCATTAAGGTTTTGACATATTAGTAATGAATAAATGTTTCCATAAAATTAGATTTTTTTTTATAACTTTGAAATTGAAATATGACACTGAACACACTGACTTCATCTTTGAAAATACTGTCATTTTCCAAAACAAAGCACGGTGTGTGCAGGGCATGGAGCCTTTTACACTTGCAGCATTGCCTTAACAGTTGGTGATTTTGAGGATAGCTCTAAAGGCGAAAGGTTTGGCCCTCTGTCTCAAAAGAGAAAACTGTCAGAATCACCAGCTGCTTCTTAGGAAAAAGAGAACTTTGTTCTCTTAGGATTTGTTAGTGTGTAGTGATCAGACATCTTAAAAAGCAGCAATTACGTTTTATTTCAGTGATATTTTTAAATGTGTATGAATTTCTGAATGTTCTGAATTTTTTTTTTGGCATGGTCACATTCCCATTTTATTGAGAAGCTGTTTAGGTAAAATGCCTCATATATAAATAGAATAGATAGTATAGGGACATTTTGCATTAGATAAGAAAACATAAATTAAGTTATAATGGGGGGAAGATGTAAGAATTTCAGTGGGTTTTTCTTAAACTGTAATAATCTTCCAGTTAGTGTGCCATTTGTTGGAATTTGAACCTCTCAAATCAGTTTTTGGGTTTTTTTGTTTTGTTTTGTTTTTAGTCACAAGCACATCTTTGGGGAGATGTGTTTAATTGTAAAGGATTATAAACATTAGTTAAGGTGTAACACCAGTTTTTTTTTTTTTTAAAGAAATAGCTCCTTTATCTGCATTAAAATATCTGCATTAAAGACTGTAGCTGTAATTCTTTGAGAATGACTAAAAATGTTAGTAGGTTGAAGAAGCTGTCTTGTTGGATAGCTTTTGTAGATTCTTACAGGTGGCATCAGTTAGAATTTGTTGTTTTATTAACATTGACAACTTGGGCCAACAGTAGCACAATCTTGTGTCAACTGAATCGCCCTAACATGTCCACATCTAATATGATGTTACTCAGTTGCTACCTTCTTGCTTCAGAAAGTTAATCAGCATCTCATTTGCATTTGTTAATTAGGGTTAATGTGTACTAATTGATTTTTTGATGCTTGTAGATTTCCATTAAGCCCAGTTAGCAATAGTTGCTGGTGTACCTCATTCATTTGAGTTACGATGATCATGTTTTTCTTGAATCTGTGCCAGATAGGGAGCCTGCATCATAATTATAGCTAATTAACACAAGATTATGCCCTGTATTAATGTGCTTCCCTGATCTTCCATTAATGTAGGAATGTTATAAATTCCAAACTTAAATATTTTCAGAGTGCCAAATATCTAAATTAACAAGTTGCCTAGAAGAAATACTGTTGGGTTTTGTTTGTTTGTCTGTTTGTTTGTTTTTTTAAGGCAGTTTGAACAAACTGAGTTCCATAAATGTTGAAGCCATTAGGACTATTTTAAGAAATGACCAACGAGAAAAGAGGCAGGCAAAAGAATCCTAGATTAATTTTTGGAAACTTGTCTCTTCTAAAGTGCATTGATTCATCCAAGCAGTTACACTAACTAGTTTTGTAACTCGGCATTACAATTCGTGGCAAAACTATTGATGAACAGTCATCTCTCAGCTCTGGCTTTTTGAAGCTCCAAGTTTGCAGAAGAGTGTCCCCTTAGTAATTTGGCTGTTAATACCCAGTGGGGTACTTGTTTGCTGTTTGTAGCTGTCAGTATTTAAGTGTTAGGGCCTGATGTGACCTTAAGTGAGTCACTTTCTCGAGCCTTGCTTTCTTCTTCTGTAAGATAAGACCATTTGATTAGAGCACCCATCTTTATAATCCAATTACTGTACATGAATATAAGATGCAACTTATTAATTGGCCGTTAAATGAACAGGTTGAACTAGTTTACCTGTATATATTTTAGCTTTTGGTAGTGTTAATTGGAAGGAAAGTGGCACTAATGATTGTGTTTCATTCTCTATTTAAATTCTTGCTCTCAATGTCCAATTATTCAAGAAGCATATAAATGGAAATTTTGCCCAGCCAGCAATCAGTTGGTTGATAGTAATGCAGATATTTTACTTTACATTTGCTAGGTAGGGAAAATGATTAAAATTTGAAATTAGAAATGGTCTTAGCATAAAAACTAATAAGTAATGATTGAAAGAGAGTTCTGGGTATCAATCAAATGGAACATGTTATTAAATCTAACTACCACAGGAAAATAATATTTTCATTCTTTCAGTATCTAAAAAGGAAATCACTTTCTTTTAGAATAGTGTGATACCAGTTTGCTTCACTACAAGAAAAAGTATCTAGAAAAAATTATTTTACATGAAATTTGGTCTTAACATGGGGTCATTAAATACAGGTTCCCTCATAGGGCTTTGATAAACAGCAAAAATAACTGTAAAGTGATTTGCCCACATAAAACACTTTATTCAATATTTATTGGATGATTTTGTTTTCAAGTTACTTTAGCATAATTAGTGCCTAATTACAAATGTTCTCTTTTTAATAATGATTTTTACCAGAGGTTAGACTTAGTTATAAATGTTTATTTCTTTAGTTAAAATTTGAAACTCATTGGTCTTCTTCAGTACTCTTTATCTTTCAGGCTTGTTGCATGAACAGAATATGGCAAAAATGAGACTCCTTACTTTTATGGGAATGGCAGTAGAGAATAAAGAAATCTCTTTTGACACAATGCAGCAAGAACTTCAGATTGGAGCCGATGATGTAGAAGCATTTGTTATTGATGGTAAGGGCCATTAGATGTTTTCCAAGAGTTAGTTGTCTTCTTTATTTGGAATACCCAGGCCTGTGAGATTTGGCCCTTCAGATGTACTTGGGAAACCCTCAAAACAAGACTCTCGTGTAGAATCCAGTGTTTAGCTCGGTTAATACTATAGACCGTTGGCATGACATCATTGTTTTGTGTAGATTCAGATATACCGTGCATTAAAGCATACTGCCCTAAAACAATAAAAATCTGATGGATATACAATTAGCCTGTACATATCATAGATTTTATTCCTTGTCCCCCCCAAAAGTAGTATATTAAGCAGTTCAGCTGCATTAAGACCATTAAGTAATGTTCAGCTACGAGCAGCTTTCGGTTTTCACATATATCCAAATTTATATGAATTTCCAAAGACAAATTTAGCAAACAAAAATTGATTTACAAAGCAAAAGCTTATAAACAACATGTAGATTGTCTAAATGGCTCTCAGTGACCTGAGTCTTAATAATTTATAGAGAATGTTTAGCCATTTTTTTTCTTACTGCCATTAAAACAGGATGTGTTGTAAAAGGGAGCAGTTCATAAAAATCATACAGGATATTGCATTAATAGATTGGCACATCCACTATAGGATGCATGCATGACCTTCATTCTTAACTGCCTCATGTTATTTTGATTTTCATTAGTTTGGAATATCTAGTTTGTTAAAAAAAAATACTTGAAACCACTAGAATACTCTCTATGTTAATTCAACGTATATAAAGTTTTCTAATGGAGTGCTTATTCAAGTATGTATCCTCTCTGTTTTATAAGTGTTCCTTAAAACAAATCATGTAAAAATTTTTTTCAGCTGTAAGAACTAAGATGGTCTACTGCAAAATTGACCAAACACAGAAAAAAGTAGTTGTCAGGTAAGATATGTAATTCTTTGCAATTTTTTGTGGGACAATTTAATGTGTTTTAATTATTTAACTTTTTATATATCTGCTTACTATTTTAACTAGAAGCAAGGCATTGTTCCTATCAGTTGCCTGTAGTTAAATAGTTGCTGTTTATCATAATTTTTATTAAAGTTCAGACTGAATGTGATTAGCTTATTTAATGAAAGAGTCCTATTTTCCAGCACATTTCATTTAATGACCTAGCATTGGCAAGAATACTAATGACTTTTGTGTCTGCTTTATATAGTTGTGCAGAGCAGTAGAAGGTCTGGAATCAATATGGTGAAGACTTTAAATGTATACATTATATGTACATATATATATATATGTCCATGCATATATATATATTCCCATGTATATAATCTCACACAAGTCTAGTCTGATTTGAGGGTATAAATTTGCTTTTTCTTATATTCGTCTTTGCCTTTAATAAGAGTAGAACATTAAAACTGGACTATAACAGACTATTGTAGAGTCAAACACTATTTTGCTAACATTTTCTTTCGATTCTTCGCTTTGTAGTCATAGCACACATCGGACATTTGGAAAACAGCAATGGCAACAATTGTATGACACACTAAACGCCTGGAAACAAAACTTGAACCAAGTGAAAAACAGCCTTCTCAGTCTTTCTGATACCTAAATTTTTATGCATGATTTTCTTCTCTTTAGAGACAATTCTAAATCATAGTAAAACATTCTGAAACAAATTTTGATACCGTCTTGAAGTTTATTGTCTCAAATTTCAAGTTAAAAAAATACTATGCCACAAATTTCAGGAACAAAAATAATAAATTACGTAAAGACAACCATTTTGTTGATCTCTGTGCTGTAAGTTTTGTTCTTGAAAGGGTTCATTTTGGATGTAACACTTTTGAGGTGAGGGAGCATCAAGACCTGAAAGGGGGAGGGGATTCATGGAGGAAAGAAGAAAGGAATCAAAATTTCCAAACAAACAGAATTTAATTTTTGAAGGAAAGGTTGCCAAAAAGGACGGTTGCTCGTTGTAAGGAAGTGTTTGTAAAATTGGATGCTTGACTGGAATAAAGTGGCTTCTTCGTATCAACAAAAGTCACAAAGTGAGGATGTTTTTAAAATTAGATAAAGTGAATATTAATTATATCCTATTTGGGTCAGAATACAGCAGTCTAGTTAACTGGTTACATTGTACAGAACATCCATTCATTATTCTTCAACTAGTTGTTCTAACATCTCTTCAGATTTTCTTTTTCTGGGTTCTTTAGACTTTTCCAAATTTAGAAACTTTTCTATTTCACTAATTTGGTTTTTTATTAAAATGTCTTGGAATTGCCAGTCATCCTCTTCCTCACCAAGGGAACAGTCAGTAAAATCAGTTCGGGACAGCAGGCCAGTATTCAGGAGTTGTGGTTTGTCCTAGAAAAAAACACACCAGCTGTCATTTGGAAGCTACTCTATTGTACTCTATTCATCATGACTATGTACAATTAGAAAGAAACAGCATCGGGGGGAAGGCTGCTGCAGCACAGAAATCTGGCATTGCCTTTGCCTGCCTGGATACATGATCCTTAGAACCATGCCTAACTTAGAAATCTTAGTGCATTTTAAGGAATAGCTAATAGTTCTTCAGAAGAGCTCTAAAAAAGACAAGCGGATATTAAAAAGGGAGAAGACATTTAAATTAAAATAGTGAAGATAAAAATCTATTTGTTTTCTACTCCCTTCCCTTCCCACAAGAAATGTCTATATTTTCTGGTACTTTGTCCAAGCCAGGGAAAAATTAAAGGTTAAACTAGCGGAAGTCAAGAACAACATGAAACTGCCTTTTCCTTCAGGTTTCCTCTTGCAGAGTGAACACCATTGTTGAAGGAACAGGAAAGCAGCGAGGGAGGTGGAAATTGGCAAATTTCCAGGGTGCCACATTGAGTCACATTTCAATATTGTGACTTTTAAAAATATACATTGAGTTATTTAACTTAGGGGTTCACCTCCCCCTCCCACCAGTACAGCTTTTAAATAGTTTGGTTTGGTTTTTTTTTTTTTTAACCTGTACAATGAGAACTGTAAGGACTTATCCCCTTGCATACCTCTCATCTCTCTTTTGCTCTAGAGGAGGCAGGAGGCTCTCCACCAGTGAGTGAGTGCTCTCAGAGAGTCAGCCTTGAACCTTGCTGTTACCTCCAAAGTGTTTCACAGAAGAGTTAAGAGTACTTCTTTTTTTTATTTTATTTTATTTTTTTTAGGCAATTGGAGTTAAGTGACTTGCCCAGGGTCACACAGCTAGTAAGTGTCAAGTGTTTGGTCTGAGGCCAGATTTGACCTCAGGTCCTCCTGACGTCAGGGCCGGTGCTCTATCTACTGCGCCACCTAGCTGCCCCCAAGAGCACTTCTTAAAGTGAAATGGATTTATAGCCAGAACCCAAAGTCTCCTGGCCCCATTCACTAAGCCTGAGCAAGTCACTTAACATCCTGGGGCCTCTTTCTCTAGTCAGTGATCTGATCTGGATGATTCTGTATCTGATTCTGAGTCATTTAAATTCTTTGGATCGAAGGGTCACTAGGGCAAGAACAATGGACTGCTAGTTATAGTACCTAGACTGTAGATTCACATCACAGTTCAGCTACTTACTAACTCTAAATTTCTGGTCTGCAAAATAAGGCACTTTAACAGAGCTGATAATGAAAGGCTGATTCTTTGCTACCTCTCCCCATAGTTTTGTGCCATCTGCTCCTAGGCTCTTTGCTCCTCTCCCCTTCCAATCCATTTTTACCTAACTTCCCTTCCCGTCCTTAAGTCATTCCCTGTTGCCTTCCTTGTCTGGTCACTCAAGAGTTGGTTTCTTTTTTTCTCATGTTCACCAGTAGGCTAGGAGAAAGCAAACATAATCCTTGTTCCTCTCAGCCACTATAACTCAGACAACTTTCCTTGAGGGTCTTTCCAGGTAATTATTATCAGGCCCAGATCCTTGCAACTGATCTTCTGGCCTTCACTCTGTTCATGCATTCTCAAGGAAATTGGTACCTGACTCATTCTTTCCAATCTTAACAACCTCTGGCCATGTGCATGGAGATACAGAGATAAAAACAGTCCCTGCCTTGTAGGAGTTAGTGTTCTGATAGGGGAAATAAGTGTATATTTAGGTATATACAAGATATATAGAAAGTAGATATAATGTAACCTCACAGGGAAAGACTAGCAGCTGGGAGCATTGAGAAAACCCATTTCCTTTTCCCTGCTGGATAGAAATACTCTTGACTTTTGTGGGTTCGTTTTTTTATCTTCCTGCTTTACTGGCACTATTGTCTCCATTTGCTGATTCTCCGAGATTTTCTAAGTAAACCACAAAATATCTTTTTGTCTCTTCTTTGCCCATTTTTAAGCCTTTTTATTTCTCTGGTCATTTTTATTTATTTATTTATTTTGGTGAGGCAATTGGGGTTAAGTGACTTGCCCAGGGTCACACAGCTAGTAAGTATCAAGTGTCTGAGGTCACATTTGAACTCAGGTCCTCCTGACTCCAAGGCTGGAGCTCTATCTACTGCGCCACCTAGCTGCCCCCTATTTCTCTGGTCTTAACCACTAATACTTGCATTTCTAAAACTGTCAACACTGGGCGGGGGAAAGCATCTTTATTTTATTCTTGTATTTGTAGGGGAATGTGTTTCTCCATTGCATTATAAAGCTAGCTTTTTGTATATTTGTATTCTCAGCATCTAGCATAGTGCCTTGCTCAGTAGGCTATCAGTGAGCACTTGATGTTTATTGAATTAAATTGAAATGAGAAGCTATAGCTTCTAACTTAAATTTATTCCCATCTAGTCCTAAAATCTTGATAAATGATCATTTAAATTAGCAGTTAATTTATCATTTGGACATTGTTTCATTTTAGCTTGCCTCAAAATAGCAATAGAGTCCCCTTGTTTCCTGGATTAAGCAGATTAAAAACTAGTTCAGATAGTAAATTTTTCTTGTAGGAATTCCAATTCATAAACATTAATTGCCTAATGTGTGCAGATCCTTTGACCAGGTGCCGAGAGGAGGCAAGTTGGTGTTGCCCACAAAGTCCTGCCTCGGTGTTTCATCCTAGCATAGAAATGATCCTCAATCCTCAAAACTCTGGCAGTTTATGCTGAAATACCCATTGAATTTTAAGGTCTTGGAAAGATTCTAGTTATGGTCCTGTTAGGGTTAATAATGATCTCCCCACACACCCTAACCTCACTCGTTCTAGCAGTATGTAGAATGTGGTATAACAGTATAAACTTGAATAAGGAGTGTTTCTTTCTTGTATTTGTGTTCCCTTCCCCTAGGACATTCCCTAGCATTTAATAAATTCTCTATATCCTTAGAGTCTTTTATATTTGTGTAATTCTAATTTCATTTGTGAAAGCTTTCTGTCCCTTACAGCTGAGAGGGGATTTCAGGACCGTGGCTTAAAATACGAGAATGAAAGACTCCTGTCAGGTTTGGAATTTGTTTAACAAATGTTGGAAGAATTTATTTGCCTGGTATCTTCCAAATCTGGGCCAAATTCAGAAAATAGATTTGATCTTATAGGCATGTCACTGAGATTTGATAGGATGAAAGACTGGAAAACGTAATGCTGAGCCATTGCTGGTGATAGTCTGAAGATCATGGAGAGTGGGAGACTCTGCAGAATGAGAAGTGCCCTGATTTTTTAGTAAGGGAAGTGAACAGACTGCAAACTCAGAGCAGTGCATTTGATTTCTGGGAAAATTTAAAACAGATCATTAAAGAGATGGTTGGTAAACATCTAGTCAAGGAAGCAGTGATTACAAAGAACCCATCACGACTTCATTAAGAACAGATCAAGCCAGACAACCTTGTCTCCTTTTTTTTGATAGTTACTGAACTTAGACTTGGTGGCTAACTTGTCAGGGATATTCATTCTGTCAACATAATTGTCCTGGAGTTTGGCTAAGTATTTGCTAAAGTCTGCATACTATTCTTGTGAGAAGTTTGGAGAGATGTGGAGAAGATGATAGTATAATTAGATGGATTCAGAACTGGTTGAAAGGTCAGACCCAGTAATCATTAGGAGCGTGATAAGAGCTTGGCTTGAGAGACCTCCATGCCCCAGTTATCTGTACTTAGCCCTGAGCAGTTTTAACATTTTTGCCAATAAGTTGGATAAAATTATAAATGGCATACTTATCAGGTGGGCTAGAAAACTAGGGATGCAGCTAACACCAGCAGACCAGGATCCAAGAAGATCTCAGCAGCCTAGAGCACTGACTTGAATCTCTAAGAAGATAACATTCAATAGGAATAAATATATAATCTTACACTTGAGTTAAAAAAAAATCAAGTTAGCAAGTACAAGGTGACTAGGCATCAGTTCTTCTGATAAAGATCCAGAGGTCTTAGTTGACTACCATTATGAGTCAGCAGCACATACTGTGGCAGCCAGCAAAGCTAATGGGGTCCTGGGCTGCAATCAGAGAAGCAGAGTTTCTAGGAATAAGGAGGGGATAGTCCCACAGTATCCCACCCTGGTCAGAACCACATCTGGAGCATGCTATTAAATTAAAACATTATATTCTGGGTACTCTTGTTTAGGAAAAAGTACTGATAAGCTAGAAAGCCTCCAGAAGAGAGCAACTGGTATGATAAATATCACATCTTCCTAAGGTTCCTATCATTCCTTTAGCAAGTAGGTGCTTGGAACCATGTCCAGAATAACAATTTCCTTCATCACTTCCTCAGACTTCAGGAAAAAGGAAATTATCAGAGAAGGTCAAGAGTTTATTTGGTTTGGGAATCGAGAGCAGATTTCTGGATAATCAGTCTTCCCCATCATTGCTCAGTACAGTATTACTTTTTTTCCTCCATTGATCCTTAGCCAAATGTTCTCCACCCACTCAGCTTCCTCCTTGGGTTTCTGTATTTCCTCACAATACACCTTAATATAAAATGACACTCCATTGCCCCTTTTTATCTATTGTGGAGGCACCTAGGTAGGGTAGCACAGTGGATAAGAGCTCTGGACCATGAGTCAGAAAGTCCTGGCTTCAAATCCCCCCTCAGAAACTAATTATGTGACTCTAGTCAAATTACTTAAACTCCCAGCCTCAGTTTCCTCATCTGTAAAATGGAGATAACACCTACCTCACGGGATTATTGTGAGGTTCAAATGAGATAATGGAGTTCTTTGCAAATCTTACAGCACTATATAAATGTTCCTACTAGAGTTCCTTTTGCATGATATTTGCTTTTCCATGACCATGTTGTAGTTAAGAGCCTTGCTCCAATAAATCTCAGTGATATTACTATGTTGTGATTTTCCTATGGTCAACTGAGAGGTTTTATTTTTTGCCCTCTTGTCTCCTATGAATTACTGGTCCTTTCTTTTGGTAGTCTTTTTGTGTCTGCCTCTAATTTTCTGTATCATTAG